CTCTCTCTCTCTCTCTCTCTCTCTCTCTCTCTCTCGCGTGCGCGCGCGCGCGCACCAGATGTGTCGCTCTCCCTCTCGCTCTCTCTCTCGGCCCCCCCACATCGCTGTGCCCTCCACCAGTGAGCACTTCCGAATGGAAGTGCCTCGTGGCAGGGCCCTAAACTTAACCCCGCAGGCAGGTTCCCTCTAGCCGTCGGTCCCATGAAAGGCTCTGACGGCCGGAAATGCGATTTTTCAAACCCCATGTTTTCTTTTTTTTTTCCTCTTTAAAAAATCGGGAATTTTTTTTGGCAGTGTGGGGGGGTTCCCGACTGCCAGTGGCACCTCCCCATGCCACCGGAACGGGGTTGCCCCCCCTCTGCTTGGCACGGCGCTCTTTGGTGGGGGCCGCTTTACCTCCGTCGAACTGGGGGTAGGACTGGGGTAGGGTGGAGGTAGGACGCCGCTCTAAGGTTGGATTGGGGACCCCCCCGTTCTACCCTCCAACAGACACTTTTGCTAATTTCAATTTTTTTTTTTTAAATCAGAAAAGTCCGAAAAAAAAGGAAGTTGTACAACATTGCAATACAAACAACTTTTGCACGAGGGTCATGTCGAAATTCACAACCGAATTTGAGAAAAAAAAAACAAGAATAGAAATATCTTTTGAGGGCATTTTGCAGTGTCTTCTGATTTCTTAAGAATTTCTATTAGTTTTAAAAATAATCCAAAAAATCTGAAAAAAGAATTATGTTGTACGAAATTGCAATACAAACAACTTTTGCCTGAGGGTCTTGGAGAAATTCCCAATTAAATTCGAGAGAAAAAAAAAAAGTTAAAAAAACGATGTCTGGTAGTACAAGCTCCTGCAAAGTTTTGTACCTTAAAACTCATTGTACAACGTACGTACGTACGTTGTTGTATTCGAATACAAGGTACCCTGTACGTTGTATTCGTATACAACGTACGTACGCTTTTTTTCGGGTTAAGACAGTAGGATCATAGCAATTTGGTATCAAAGTGGTCCCCACCACTTGCTGGCGGGGAGGCATAGGGTCACCTTAATCCTCATTCTGACGATCTACATATGCGATGAGTTTGGATTAAGATAACTTGAGCAAAAATTATGGTCGCATGTGGCCTGTTGCAGTTGAGGGAGGGCTGTTTAAGAAGACTTGACGGGTGATGATGAGAGAGGCCAAAGGGGAACGACAGGTGACTGAGATGGTGTCCATGACAAGAAGGACCAGAGGGAGGAGGCTACACCAGCCTGGCTTCAATGTGGTGTCAGCCATTGCTGGGATCTTGCCATGATCCCTGGCAAATAATAGATGCCAGTGATGCCCACTGACGTCAGAACAGTGCGAATAGGCAGAGGGAGAAGAGAACAGTGCGAATACTGATCTCAAGTGATGCTTGAGTTAGGACTGTCCAAACTGGTGCATGCGTGTGCATGTGCCTGTTCGCCTAGGCAGAGGGAGAAGAGAGAGGGAGGTAGGATGGAGAGGCCGGTCAAAACAGGCGCGCATGCATATGCATGTGCTTGGGCACGCGTTTGTGTATGTGTGTTGGGGATTATCACAACAACGGCCCCTTTTTCACCGGAATGAGTGGATCCAAAATCAAAGCATTTCAAAATCAACACAGCTTTACCTCTATTGCCGACAGCGAAGCACACCAAAGCTGAGGGTCTCGTTCGACACTCCTTGGGGCGTCCTTGGGGCCGAAGGAAGTTTCCTTGGGGGTTTTCAAGGAAATTCCCGCCATCGTTCCACCTGTCCTTGGGGACGTCTCCCGAGGACATTTCCTTCGAACGATGTCAGACAAGAAAAAAGAAAAGAAAAAAAAATTCAAATGTGTTTGAGGCCTTCAGCCAATAGGGTGCTGCCACGATCCAGATTTTCGGTTGTAACGTCTCTCTACCCATGTGCCCGCTCCTCTCCGTGAAACGCGGATTCCTTTTGCCCAAGGGACCTTGTCAGGTCCCTTGGGCAAAAGGAAGAAATGGCTGGGGAATCCTTGGAGCCCAAGGAATTTCCCTCGGAGTGTTTTCACTTTTTTTTTGCCGACTGCATCCCCGAGGATAGGTGGAACGAACAATTCCTCGGGGACTTTACACGCCCGAGGAGTGTCGAACGAGCCCCTGAGCCTATCTGACAATGAAACAGTTTTACGTCTTTGGGAACAACGTAAGTAGAATAGATCAATTATATCGCTTTCTTGGCTATCTGAGTCTTTTTACTTTGGCTTTGTTTGGGGTACCCCTGCTATTTGTTCTGGTAGCTCCCCTCTTACTGTGCTTCCAACGAACAAGCTTGTGCGCAAGCTGACCACATCCCCATGTGCCATAATGGCCCATTTGCACGCTATGAAAGGAGACAGTAAACGGGAAGGTATACTCCCGTTCATTTTTCGTCAGATCTTCAGTTCATATTTTGTCTGTTCTCTTGATGCTGCTCATTCATATGCATGCACTAGTAGACTAGTAGTACACAATAGGAGGGAGGAAGGAAAGGGGTAGGGGGTGGAGTTCTATAGGACGCGAGGGGCGGGGGCGGGAGAAGAGGAAGAGGTGGGCAGAGGGAGGATAAGGAATGGGACACAGGAAACAAGAACTTCACAGGATTCTCAATACTCACTGAGACTGTGGAAGCACCGCATCCAGTTCTCGCAGTTGCAATTGCTGCATCTAATTGGACAGCATAGACGTATGTCACAGGCTACGCGGCCATGCCGGCCACAATTTTGTAGGCATTGCCGTTCCGTCCGGTGTACAAACAGGGCATGCCATATGCCATATTGGGGTGTCGTATTGAGTATAATGTTGGCTGTCATCACATGTATGAAAACAAAAAATTTCGTACGGTATATAACTCTTCGTAATCCTCACGACGTGAAGCATGCCAATCGATTGGCATGCTAGCTGAATCTCAGGTGGGTCATCACACATGATCACAGAGTGGCATTGAGCACCTTTCCTTGGGTTTTCTCGGCCACTATTCCCTCTCTGTGGGCAGGCGATGAAGGGGCCTAATCCAAAGTAAGGGTGTTTGGCTGTTTGCAAGATCTGCTCTGCAACAGCTCGCGCTGGTGGCGATAACCTTTCAGTACAGAGCACTGTAGGTGGTTCATGTGGGCGTCTATTTTCCACCTCCAGCGGCGGTGGCTGCTGCTGCTGCTGCTCTCTGTGTGTGTGTGTGTGTGTGTGTGTGTGTGTGTGTGTGTGCACTGTGCATACATTTGTACCTCCACTGCACATAAGTTTTCCGGGCCACCACCTCTCAAGGACCGATGCCATAGAGGGTGTGGCCAATGTGATCATGACGGCAAGCAGCAACACCACAATGCAAACGAGGAGCCAGGCTCGCAGTTCTGCAAACCGGGCGGCAAGCAGCAAGGCAGTTGCCCGGTAGCATAGGATGACAACCAAAGAACTTGAAATAAGCACCCGGACCGGAGAAGCAAGCGCGCTAAGGGATGACAGGGCAAGGGGCATGAGCAGCGAAGGCCAGCAGCAAAAGGCAAGACACGACAAGTGGACAAACCGCAAAGCAAGCGGCAGCATTGCCAGATCTTGCTCCACATCTGGCCAGAAAGGTGGCTGTTGTGCGGACAGTTCACAACACAGCGCAGAAAGAAGTGGACCATCAGCTACAATCACACTGTACTGTAGGTTCAGGCCACAAAAAAAAAAGAAAAAACAAGAAAAAAAAGAAAAAAAGAAAAAAAAGAAAAA